GGGGGGGGGTGCTCACCTGCCTTGATAGGGGACACCAGGGCTCCTGAGGCTCCCAGGGTTTCTTCCTTTGGAGGCAAATCAGGGCTAGGGAACAGGTGTTCACCTCCCCCAGCCTGGAAATCATTCTTTTTATTTTTTTTTTTTAATCTGGAGGGTTTGACATTACTAACATTTTTTTTAATAGAGAGAGAGAATTTTTTTTAATATTTATTTTTTTAATTTTTGGCAGACACAGCATCTTTGGATTGAACCTGGGCCGCACGCATGCCAGGCGAGCGCGCTACCGCTTGAGCCACATCCCCAGCCCCTGGAAATCATTCTTGGTCTCCCTGAAGGTTCAGGAGATGCTGGCCTCCTTTTCTAGAAGAGGCAAACAAATCCTTAAGGAGAGGAGGGTGGGGCACAACTCCTGGCACACAGTCTCCCATTGTCTGCCCAGGCCCATGGTGACATCACCTGTGCGGACTCCGTCTTCTTGAGGCAGGGAAGGCCCCCTCCTCTGTCATGATCATGGGGTGGACACACCCGGTCCTAGAGCTTGCACTGGAGCCACCTCTAACCCTCTCCAACCCCCATGCAACTCCCAAGAGTGGCCTGGACTCCAGGTGATGCCCCTGGGCTCCTCAGGTTTGGGTCTTCTCCCTTCTCACTCCCAACGACACAGGACCACCAACACCTCCATCCCTCAGGTACCACCCCCACCCCTCATACACATATAGGATGTCCAGAAATGTCCCTGGGCTCAGCCAGAACCCAAGAGCAAGGGCAATGCCAGTTTCTGCCACCCAGGAATTTCCTGAAAGGATGCAGAAAAGAGCACCTCTAACCTACTTTGGGGGAGTTTTTATATTTGTTCAAGTTCAGTCCAAACACTGGGCATGAAAGAGATGGCATGGGCTGGTAAGCAAGAAGCAGCAGACCAGACACAGGAGACACCTTCTTCAACAGAGTCTGCAAGCAGTGGTGGACCCAGCAGGCCCAGAGAGGGACAGGGGCCCACCCAGGGCCATACAGCAAGTCCAGCTCCACGTGCTTCAGGGTGCTGGAGGGTGGCCAGCGCAGCTCTGGGAAGACTGAGGTGGGGCTCATCTTAGAGGTTATGAGCCAAGTTTTTCCTCACCTTTTTCTCCCCTTCTGAGTGGGAACATCTCAGGGGGGCAGTGGCTGGTGTCATCTCTGGTTCTGGGAAACAATTTCCAAAGGAGCCCCAGTCTGAGCATACATCACCCATCAGAATGACTCCAGTGCCCTCGTGTGGTTCTCCTCGGCATTGCAGCCAGGCCCAAGGAGAAAAACAGCCTCCAAGTCCCAGGGCCTGTTCCAGATGGAGAAACAGGACATCCTAGACAAAGGGAATGGCACTGAGTGGCGCTCGCTCTTTGACCCCCTCAGTCCAGGGCTCTTCCCTGTGTGTCCTACAATTCATGCCAGCAGAGGAAGAAGGTCAGGCTAAATCAGGACAGCTCAGTACAGAACAATTTTACACAATTTTTTAAAGCTACTGACTTTGTGATTTAAAAAAATTAATATGTACTTGCTGAATTTGTAAATTTCAGGAAAATTTGCGTTTCAAAAAAATATAAAGAAGATAATTACCCTAAACTCAAGAGAACAATTAGCATTCTGACAAATCTCCTCAGTTTTAATTCTATGCCTGTATATTTTATCTTAATGAAACTGGGCCTGTACTTACATAGTTTTATACCCTTTTCTCTTTTTTTTTTTTTTTTGCATTTAACATAGTGTCATGTCATTTTCCGTTTATGTTATTAAATCTCCCACAACGTGATACTTTTCATAGCTGATTATATCCTATCTTCATTTAGATAATTTATATTTAAGTTTTTGTAAACAAGCTTCTGCGGGGAATACCTTTGTTCAGAAATCTTTGTCCATATTTTTGTTTTGTTTTGTTTCATTCAAGGAGAAATATTTAAAAGTGGCATTTCTGGGTCAAAGGCTAGGTACATATTTGAGTTTTTCTGTCCACCAGAGATTAGGAGTGTCTAGTCTATGTCTAGGAGTGTCCCCAAAGAAAAACTATTCGGTTGCATTTAGGAACTTTTAATGATGTGGACTTTGCCAAAAACGTGAAATGTGAAATGAGCATATGCTAATCAGTTTCCTTTCACCAAAGAGCTTTCATTCAGGCAGGGGGCCATGGGGCAGGACAGGAGACCACTTGGGCTTTGCTTGTAGGGTGACCAGTTATCCCCAGTGAGGAGCTTTCCAGGATGCCGGATTCTCAGTGTTAAAGCCAGAAGGACTCCAGCAGTTGGTCACATCACCTTAGCTGTCATGCCCCTGGACAACCCCTTGCCTTCTGCCCTAGGAGGGTGAGGTGCTGGGATATGATTTGAGTCTAGGAGGACCCAGAGACACTCAGAAGGAGCCTCATCCAAGGGGCTGGGGTTGTGGCTGAGCAGTAGAGCACTTGCCTAGCATGCGGGAGGCACTGGGTCTGATCCCCAGCACCACATAAAAATACATAAATAAATACATAAAATAAAGGAGCCTTGCCTCCCTTGTGGGGTACAGGAGGTAGGTGAGAAGAGGAACAGCTGTCATGGGGTAGTGGAGGGTGCAGCAGCGGACCAGGCTCACGTTCTAACTCCATTCCTTTCTAGCTGCATCCATAGCTGCAGAGAGCTTCCATTTCCTCCAAAAGAAGCGACCGTCCTGGCTGGTGACGTGGCTCAAGCAGTAGCGCACTCGCCTGGCGTGCGCGGGGCACTGGATTCGAGCCTCAACACCACATAAAAATAAAAATAAACATATTATGTCCAACTAAAAAACTAAAATAAAAAAAAAATATTTTTTAAAAAAATTTTAAAAAAAAGAAGTGACCTCCCTGGGCCGGGGTCGTAGCTCAGGGGTAGAGCACCTGCCTCAAAGGTGCGAGACCCTGGGTTCAATCCTCAGCATCATTTAAAAATAAAAAGGTGAAATAAAGGTATTGTGTCCAACTATAACTGAAAAAATAAATATTAAAAAAGAAGAAGTGATCTCCCAGGGTTATTGCAAAGATTGCCTGCGGTTTGGATGAATGCCCTTAGCATGGCTTAGCATCATGAACTCTCAGATAACATCAGCTGGCATGAGAATAAGGGGTAATGGCAGAGGCCATGGTCTGGGTGCCCCGGAGTTCTCCTGTAGGAGGTGAGAGTGGACTGTGTTTTACCAATGAAAAATGCCCTGAAGTAAGGACCTCTAGGGATGGAAGCCATCTGCGGCACTCTCTCTAATACCCCCACCTCTGCACTTAAATTAATTCTAACACATTATGGCAATCACCTAAGAAATAGGCATCTGTTGTGTTTACTATTTAAATAATTCCCACATTTGATATTTATTCCAACATTTGATCTATTTATTCTCTTATTTAAATGCTAAATCCCTGCTGCATCTCTACTTGTTTAAATATTAAACATACTTGTGTTCATTATTTACTGTCTGTCTCCACCTACTAGAATGTCAACTCCACTGGAGCAGGGATCCAGGAGAGTCCTAGCACATAGTAGGTGCCCAGTAAATGTTTGTTAGATGATGTAACAATGCTACAAGATCCCACGAATGATGGGCTTGCTCTGTGCATGCTTCATATAGTACGTGCACAGGTCTCCCATGATGAGGGCCCGCTGTCACGATAAGAAACTGAGACTCAGAATAGTTAAGTGACACTAGGAAAAGCAGACGTTGGATTTAGCAGTGGGATCCCAGAAGAAGGTCCCACCCGAGAAATGGTTGGGATCTGTGGGGAACGACATGGTCCCTTCTTCCCCAAGAGCGGCAGAGGGTGCCATTCAGGGTCTCAGAATGTGGACACCAGGAAGAACCCTCATTGTATAGACAGATACTGAGGCTCAGAGAGGGAGACCTTTACCCCAGTGACATCGTCAAAGGTGCTGGATCAAGTGTTCTGACCTCAGCAGGCTGTTTCTGGTTCGGTTGTTCCCAACTTGCCTGATCATAAGGTTCACAATTGGTTTTTGTAAAGCTACAAAGTCCTCAACTCTTCTGCTTGGAGCTTTCGACTTGGGCCTTGGGATCCTCTTTTTTTCAGAAACTCCCCCAGGGAGTCTTATAATCAGAGCTTGGGAGATACCCCTCCATAGGAAAGGGCAGTTTGCAGGCAGCTCAGACCCACCTGGGCATTGCACAGTGCCAGGGAGTGTAGGGCATCAGCTACCAACTGTGCCTCTGTGTCTCTGTTCCTAAAAAATAGAGGTGGTGGAGGCTCAGTCTCTCTCTCACCGGGCAGAGGCAGGTTCTGGGACTTCTCTGAGCACATGATAGGTGCAAATCGAAGGAAATAATGATTGTGAAACTGCTTAGAAAACCCAGAGAATTATGCAAGTGTCTGTCGTTGTTTTATTGACTCAGCCCTTGCTAGGTAAAAATGTGTTTGAATTTCACAAGTATGTGTCACTCA